CCTCTAGCCTGAGGCAAATCATAATGTCCAAGTCAAATTAGCGCGAGTGTGCAATCCCATAAAAGCACCGATGGGAGTGGAAAGTTCTGACCGTGATCTACTGACGAAATAAACAACAAATTAAAGAACACAGACGCAACCAGATCATTCCCATAATGACCAACGCAACATACCAAGAGCAGCGCAAATCAGCGTCAAATACGAATAAATTGACTAAATAAATCACCTTGCATGATTCATTTAAATACTCTCCTCCCATAAATATTGCATCTGATAGGAAAATTCCTACAAATGCATATGCAATAAAAATTGATTTTACTGAGGGAAAAAACTACAAACTCATGAAGCATAATCAGATTAAAAATGACGGAGGAATATACTACAACTCATTTTAAAGTGTTGATTAAATGTATAAAAACTATATATTTTAAGTTAATTGCAAAATATGCATATACACAAACATTTCAGTATTTTGAGTGCGTAGGGAGATCGACTCAGATCAAGCATTTAGCTATTTTCTATTCTCTTTTCTATTTTTTTCTATAATTTGAGGTTAGCATCATGGGTAATGTAGTTTTTCACTAGGAATCCCACTGTTAATCATGACTGTTATAAAAATAGGCTGAAATAATGTGGGCTTGTGATAATAACATGGATCAACAACCTTGTAGCTCACAATAGGGCTCTGGATTATAAGTTATTGTACAAACTCAATTTCCTTACGGAAAATGAAGGGAGTTTTTACTTCCAGATCCAAATTTTGCACTCTATTGGTGGATCTTTTTATTATTATTTTTCAGATTTTTATTTTTTTGTTAAAATCACACTGATGAAAAGCCAATATCATCAGAGTTTATGGTCAGTCTGTTTTGAAAGGTTTTTACGTTATTGATAAAAATCAATTTTTTTTTGTTCTGTCCTACCAAAGTCATAGAAGCAAACTAATGACTTTTGATTTCAGAGAAAAAGAATTTGCAACATTTGGCCAAGATTCAGTTTAAACAAGCTCAAACAACCACCAGTGTGTTTAAAAAGTACACGCTAATCAGCTCTGATAAGATCCACCTCTAAGAGACAGCGAATGGAGCAACACCTAAAGTTAAACACACACACTATCACTATCACAAATTAATCTTTTGCAAGTATGTGCCTCTGGTGTTAAATAAAACCCAGAGATAAGCACCAACATCAGCACAAATGGAATAAAAAGCCCCTGAGAAAGAGGCTTTTTGTGCGGTTTTATGTGATGTGCTAATAATTGTGAAAACAGCACTTACGAAATAGTTTTCATCTCTTTCTTCTCAGCGTCTGGGCGAGCTCGGTTGAGTACCTTGAGAAACTCAGAAGTCTTGGCCCTCATACGAGTGTGGATGTAGGCCTAACACAGGAGAAAACACACCGATTATTCATTAACTTCATAGCATTTTTCAGACAAAAGCCCCCAGCATATTCGTTTCATCTGACCAAACAAAGGGCCGAATGGTTGAATGGCAAGTACGCAAACTAAAACCATTACAAAGCTTTTTACAAACTCAAGGGCATTTCTCAAACACTCATAAACTCAAAAACTGGTATTAAGATACATTACGGTCGATCGGATCACAAGTGGACGACACTAAATACAGGTGTAAACGGGGTCTAAAACATTTGAAACGACCTGAGAGGTAGTGAAAACGCATTCGACTGGATTGCTTTTGTATGTGTAAACGCACATGTTGAATGAGTCGGAGAGTAGACAGTCTTTTGTGGTTGTTCTGTCTACTGACCTTTAAGAGACGGGATTTAAACTGTGTCGACTGAAGCCCCAACTTTGCTTTGAAGATGAAAAACGTACCAAGCACAATGTAAATATGTAAATTGCTCATATGTAAATTAGGCAAGATTATTTCATCCATTTTGTCCAAAAACCCATATATTTACTCGCCCATCAACCCTCCCCTCGAAAAAAATCAGGACAGAAGTGGTTGAAAGTGGACAAAAGAGACCCCGTCCACACTACTGCGTTTTCGGTTAAAAAACGGAAAATTAAAACGAATACGATCTCCGTCCACTCCAGCGTTTTATCTGCGTATTAGAATTGATCTCCATCCACATTAAAACTACTGAAAACGTGGATCACGTTACCATTCACCAACACTGGGAATGCACGTGCCAGTGTAAACAGTGGCTGATGAATCAGGGAAGGAGACTAAAGTCCAAAGTCCTTCATTTTGTCCCGTCTACACTAAAAACTCCCTCCGGAGATTCAAAACGCAAAACGGAGCCGCAGTGCAGCGTTTCTAAACTTTTTAATCCGTTTTAGGTCTTCGTTTTTCCCGTTTTAGTCTGGACGGGAGGTGCAAACGTAGCAAAACGCAGTAGTGTGGACGGGGCCTAAGACACCAGGTGTAAATGGGAATGTGTCTCCCTCGTCTGCTTGTGATCCGATCTTAATACCAGGAGTAAACAGGGCGTTGTTGGGTCGACTGCGGCGTTTCTGAGGAGGGTCTTACCTTGGAGCACTTTATGTGGTAGTGCAGATAGTCCCGGAAGGTGTGGATGAGGTTGATGGTGTTGTCTCTGGTATTGGCGTTGGTGTGTCGGGGGAACAGCACTGGTTGGAAATGGTAATTTTAGAATTTATATTTAAACTAGAATATGACATTCAATGTGAATGTTATATTTGGGTAACATATACATACTATAAATAAAAATACTGCAAAAAAAAGGTTAGACTTTATTTTAGGGTGAGGTAGTTACTGGAGCCAGACCGACATTATCAGCCGATATTAGGCATTTTCCAAAATATCGGTATCGGCAGTTATAATGGCCGATAAATGAATATTTCAAAAATAAAATAAAGACGGACAAAACACGCTTCGATCATCTCTCCTTGGCCTGTTATATTGAAAATGTATGTTTTACAATTTGCAGTATGATGTTATCTATTGCTAAATTATGGCTCATCATAGACTAGCTAACCACAAAGCTACAGTAGCTAATGCCACTATCATCAGTGGAAGACCGCTAACGTTAACATTAATGAGTTTGGAAACCACAATTAACTTTTTTTGCCTAAATAAAGTAATTATTACTGTATTTATAACTAGCATATCTCTAGTTACAGTCCCTGCATTGTAAAATGTAAGTTATACTTGCGAAGAGTGAACATTTAGACATAGAGAAAAAGTATCAAACGTATCTTGTGCAGAAAAGTTAGCTTTTCTTTTACACGTGTGTGAAATCCAACAATATTTATAAAAAATAAATTAATTAATTAATTAAAATAAATAAATTAAAATAAAATAAAAAAAAATCGGCCGATATATCGGAATATCGGATTTTAAAACCCAAAAATATTTGTATCGCTTTTGCCCTTCAAAATCCTTTATCGGTCGGGCTCTAGTAGTTACATTGTACTTACTCAAATAAGTACTGAGTACTATTAATGAACTACATGTACTTACTATAGAGTTACGGTTAGGGTTAGTTACGTGTAACTGCGTCACCTTAAAATAAAGTGTTACCAATATAAAAGAATACATATTTAATATTTCTAAAAATATATAAGTATTTTATTTTTGTATTACTGCAAAAAAAAACCCTGCTTTTTTGTCTTAGTATCAATATCTTTACAAGATAAATTTACTTCTGCAACACAGCATAAGATATTCAGGCTCGGTTTCATATGTTGTGTCTTTATTACGAGAGTATTTTGCCTTATTGCACTGACCTTAACTTGTTTATACTTAAAATTAAAGAAAAACCTGCCAGTGCAGTAAGACAAATTATACTCGTATTGGACACTATTGGACACTTCTTAAATTGATCCCGTTTAAAGAATTGTTAGACATTTCAACTGAAAAAAAGGAGAAAAACTAATTAAATACTTAAGAAGTCATTTAAATCAATGACACTTGAAAACAGATGTGTAATCCTAAAGGTATAACGTCAATCTGAGTAACAAAGCAATTTTAACAGAATACAATAATCTGTAATATGAGGTTTGCATGGGTTAACACTAAAAGTACAGTATTTTTATACTCAGTTACCAGCGTAAAATGAACAAACAAAAAACAAACTAAATAAGGACTTGGTAAACATTGCATGTCTCCAAATACTTGGTGGCGTGAAAAACTGAAGTAGAGTAGCGCTGGTAAACGTTGTTGGCTTTGATAAAAGGGTGTGGTGCTTTTTTTATTCATTAAGAGGTTTGTGTAACCGCCGTGAAGAGAAGCTGGGCGTTTGCTCTCTTGAAACGAATGCAAATACACAGTGCACCTGCCACAGGTAAGCGGAAGCGCTTTGTTCTGGCCACGTATTAACGTACAAGTCATCAAGTAAACCAGACAAGAGTCTATAATTAACTTTATATCTATATCTATAATTAACTTTAGCAGATGTGGTTGATAATACTGTTTTAACCAGGGTCCAAAATGAACATTTCCTTAGTGCCATTTGTGAGTAAAAATAACCATTCTCGACACTAAATTCCTGTTTATGTGTATGTGACCACGTGGTACAAACCAAAAGTGATGTAGCCGATGTTGTCTCCCACAGTGGCGTCAGTGTCCTTCAGCTCCAGAGGAGGCTCTCTGTGACTGAACAGCACCTGAGGAGCCGTGTGACTGGCCCTCCTGCCCTCCTTAAACTCCTGAACAGAGAGAAACAGTCATCGGTCTACAAACACAGAAGCTGTCCTGGTGGGGGTTGGCACTGATGACATCATTACGTGCAGGTGATTTTGTGAAAACAGTCAAACTACATTAGAAGTGCCTTTCATTTGTAATGCATTTAATTCACTGGATTATCCCAAACATTATTTATTATCCATTTACAGTAGTTGCCAAAAGCAATGCCTGAATGGGGATATTTGTTTTTATGACCCTGCAAGTTCGAATAAAAATTCAAATTATGAGGAAAATATTTGATATTTTAGAAATATAAGGGAAGAACACAGCACTAAACTTGTTTAAGGCACTTATCTGACAAAACTATTTGGCAAAAAAGGCACACTACAGCTACAGGTTTTATTTCACTAATACTATGCAAAACAAATGAATGGAAAAACTAAAAGCTTATATAAAAACCATACATAATACATAACAATCAGCTATTATGTTGTTGGTTATCTCTTGTTTTTGCATGTTTTAATAACTTTCTTTGTATGAAAGCCTGGCCAGAAATTATGTCTGCACAATTTCATTGAGTTATCACAAGTAGAACAACTGACTATGCAATATGCTTACAAAATCTTTAATAGATTTTGTATAATATTTAAACAAATGGTGAAGATGTCAATTTTCCTAAGTCCGGAAATCACTTTTGGCCACTGTGGTACTTTCCAGCAAAACTAAATTACATTATACGATATACAAAACAGAAAATAATTATTTTAAGAATTAGTTTTTACTGTATTTTTGATAAAAATTAAAAGTAAATCAAATAAAAAGCCTTGGTAAGCATAAGATAATTTAAAAAACTTCATCATTTAAACAGCAGTGTATAAGAAAATCATATTCTTGGTATTAGTCTTGCTTTTCCAGTTAAATTGTAAAAAAAAATAATAATAAAAGATAATGCATAAAATATTAAGACTTCACTTGCTTTTGACTTGTTTATAAATAAATGAAAAAAATCAGCTGGTTCACTAAGAAATTATTTGTATTTAACAGTCTATGAATCACATCTGAATCTAAATCTCATCATTTATAAACATCAGCAAATATAACAAAATTGTATATCTGCATTTTCTATATATATATATATATATATATATATATAAAATGCAGTGAGCTTTTTAAGTGTCCAGAAGTGGCCAAATTTGTTTTGAGGCTACTGTTTATATATATATATATATATATATATATATATATATATGATTGAAATGAGTGCTTGCTGATTGCTTTCTAAATGCCACTTGCCTTGCCACTTGCCTTGATATTTTTTATATAAAGCAAATATTTTGGATTGTGGCTTATTTGTCCAAATGCTTTTAGGGGTGACTGTACTCTTACAGTGCTATGCAATTATTTCAAATGTTGAAACATGCATTCTGCTCTATCTATGAGCTCTTTGATGACAGAATAAATGACAGCATTTCATTCTGCAGATAATACAGGAATGACAGCGTTGGCTGATGACATACAGTGGTTTAAATGGGAAACATGACACAAAATGCCTGAATTGCAAAACACCCAGAGGGCATGTGTTTCAACATTGTAAGCATACAGAAATGATTGTATGGTGAGTAAATACAGAAACGGTCGAGATTGAACCTGAGAGCTATTCCTATTCCATAGAAATGGGACAAAATGAGCGAACCTGCATGAACACTTTCCCGATGATGACATCGTCGTCATCCTTGAACACTGTGCTGAACACAACAGTTACTCTGTCTTTCTTAGCCTCAATATACCTGGAAAACACAAACAAGAGAGATTTGAGCTGGATTACAAACTGTGTACAAGGGCTGTCATATATATATACCTATATGTTTATGTGTATATGAAATAATTAATATGGTTAAAAGATTTGCGCCACTCAAGTTCTTCAGAAAATGTAAAAATCTAGTTATGATTCATCATTTGGTTATTTATGCTGCTTTCAAGCTGTGGAGAAAATTATAATGTGAAAACAATGTATTTAAATAGCCTATATATATATATTTTGATTGTTCTGCATGAAACGCATTCTACATTTCCCTTACAGCCGAAAAATTGCAAATATTATAGTATTTTTTGTCAATTAAATGAAAAAGAACTACATTTGCTCTATTATCCAGTTAATCAGACAAATGAAGACTCGATTTGTTGATTATCAATAATTTGTAAGTTGCAGGCCTAATGAAGAAAGATCAAGTATCTTACATAGACTCGTCATCCCTGTAATGGACAACAGCTCTCTTCTCTCCCTCACGGCCCTCCTCCTGGAAATTAAAGTACTTCTCGAAGACAGAAGCGAAGCAGTTTCTCTTGAGAATGCCCGCCTGGTGGATCACCTCCTCTTTGTTGGGCGGAAGTGCCTCCAGGTCAAAGAGCAGTGAAATATTGTACCCTTCAGAGAGGAACAGCAACAAACCGTCAAACCAAAATTCGTACAGTAATAACTAAAAGTGAAAACAGCAGCCGTTTGGCTTACCATCTTCTGGTGCCACGAGGAAATTTCCATAAACGCGCTTCAGCAACTGAAACAAAACAAATACAAACTAAATTAAAATCTCATGTCAATGTCGATTTAAAAAAGAGCAACAAAGTTAATGCAATATACTTTTTTTTAAAAGTGAACATCATGATTTTTGATTCAATTTTGTGTGAATGTACAAGTGAAAGTTTACATCTTAGGCCCTACGGCTGGTTACTATTTCCCACTTTTTGGCTGAACCCTCTGGTGTAATTTTTGACCAAAAAATATTACGTTTTTTTTTTTTTTTTACTTCATCAGAATGGTACGAAACTTGGTAAAGGTTTTAGTACATGCTGCTGTGTAAACAAAAAAACACAGATATGATTCAAGAAAAGGTTGTATTGTCATATTGTATTGTTTTGTGGAAATTATCGGGAAGATGAATTTCATCTAGTGGAAATGTTTGGTACTGCACCAAAACAAATTATTTCTGAAAGCTAATTTTATAAGAGATCAACCATAAATTTGGAATAGAGCTTGTTTACATTTATAGCTTTAATTTTCTCACAGTTTTAGAGTAAAACGTGTTTTGGAAGATACATATTTCAAATAAAACATTTAAAATATTATTTTTTTTTTTTTTTGGCATTTTTCATAACAATAAATGTAACATTTTATACTTTTTTTCCAAGTTAACTTTTTTACGCTTTAAATGCTAAGAGTGTCGCTAAGAGTGTCATCTTTAAATCAAAAAGAGATCAAACTTAAGTCTTTGCTCTGATTTATGACTGTTTAAGTTGGTCATTTCATTTTAAGGTCCATGCTCAAAAAGTGAATATACTGGATTAAAAATACTGTAGTATCCAACAATTCCCTAAAAATATTAAATAAAGAACATTATAAAGCTAAAATATAGTACAATAATTTTCATTGAAATAATTTGTTATTTTATTTTAGATCTGTCGTTGAACAGCTCCAGAGGGTTAACTAGCTCATTTAAAAAATACAAACATCAGGTCCTAAAATGTCTGCATGTGTAACAATTATAAAGGAATGAATAAAATGCATTTTTAAATAAACTATAGAATATCACATTTCAGGGCACATCAATATCCAAAAAACTATTTCACGTCAACTAACTAACCACGTATAAAACGACAGGCACTGGCTTGTTTCATTCCTGGCATTTTTAACAAGCTTTCCCTGTATTTTGTCTTCTGTTTTAGCCTGTCTGTCAGTATATAGACAAGACATTTTCAACAAATACAAAAGAAGAAGAAGAAGAAAAAAAACTCATTTGAATTCTTTTTTTGTCTCAGAGATTGTATCAGTGTGGACAGCATGAACAGACAGGAAGCTGAGGGCCACTTCTACTGGTTCCTCTATTTTGCATTGGTAATTCGTTTGATTTACATTGGCAGTCCTGAATGGAGCTGGAACATACTTTGGATATTTATTTGCATTGGCATGGAAAAGGCTTCCCATCAACCTCAACTCCATGAAGCCTAAAAGATTCATGACAATCCTTCCCTAAAAACAATGAATCAATTTTCTCAATGCACAATCAAAACCATGAAGATGCAACTGCAATGATCTTGAAATATGCCAGAAAATAATGAATAAGTTGAAAATTCAAAACAGCAAATCATCTTAACACTAGCTTAGAAGGACAGGGAACCAATGTTTCTTTTTTTACGACATGTGACTTCCTCCATTCAAAGTGAGTCACAGGCACTTCCTGTTTCATAGTGAAACCACAAGCCATTTAAAACCTTACATGGTGATTAAATGTGATCACCCCGGACTGAATCATGTAAAATCATAGGATATGTACAGTATGAAAGAAGACTACTTTTCTCCAACCTCACAATTGCATAATTGTCCATAGAAAATCTGAATTATACTTTCGTAACAGACAAGAATTACAATATCTACAAAGGTTGCAATCTTGCAACCTACTAGTCCATTTTCTCAGTGAGCTATGATGACATTCTTGTGAAAAACTGCATTGTAAAAAGGTAAAACTCATAAACCAGGTCATTTTTCATTCAAAATCAAAAGGATCAAAAATATCAAATCAAAATACACTTCCATTCAAAAGTTAGGAGTTTTTTTGTTGTTTTTTTGAGAAAATTATATTTATTCAGAAAGGGCACATTAAATTGACCAACATTGATAATAAAGACATTTAGAATGTTACAAAAGATTTCAATTTCAAATTAATTCTGATCTTCTGAACCTTCCATTAATCAAAGAATCCTGAAAAGCATCATGGTTTGCCCAAAAAAACTATCAATCAGCACAACTGTTAAAGGAGTAGTTCACTTTAAAAAAAAACTTTTTCTGATAATTTACTCACCCCCATGTCAACCAAGATGTCCATGTCATTCTTTCTTCAGTTGAAAAGAAATTCAGGTTTTTGTCCAAAATGAACTAATCTTTTCTTGAGTCAATATGTTCATTTCGTTCGTTGAATGAACCAAATGACATGAAAAAAGATTTGTTCATTTTGATAAACGAGTTCGAAGAGGAGAGTCACGAACACGCATCACAGAACAGAGCAAGGTGAACATTTGAGCTTATAAAACTTAAACTTTGTTGTTGTTGTTGTTGTTATTTTTTTTTATGAGCAATCGTTTCGTTTGATAAGACCGTTATTCGTCGTCTGGAATCGTTTAAAGCCCTTTGAACAGTTTGCAGTTTGCACTGAAACTGTCTTTTGGACCTTGAACCGTTTGGACCCCATTGAAGTCCATTATATGGAGAAAAATCCTGGAATGTTTTCATCAAAAACCTTAATTTCTTTTCGACTGAAGAAAGAAAGACATGGACATCTTGGATGACATGGAGGTGAGTAAATTACCAGCAAAAGTTTGTTTAAAAGTGAACTACTCCTTTAAGTACAAAAAGGATCATGTGATGAAAGCTTTGCATAACATTTGAGAATATTTCTGTTTAAATAAATACAGCCTTGGTGAGCATAATGACCCCAAACTGTTTTGAACGGTAATGTATTTGTTTTTGCATAAAGATAAAACCGATTTTTAGGCTGACCCTAACCCTGTTCTTGACAAGTTTGGTGATTTTCTGCTCGTACCTCATCGGCGCCGTGCTCCTGAAGCTCCTTGTAGAACTTGAGAGAGATGCTGACCATTAGTTTAGTTTTGTCTCCATTGGGGTTGGAGATGTGGTAAAGCACACCATCGAAGTCTGTAGCAAAAATATAAAAGGGTCCCATGCCAATCATTCATTTTGTTTTTATCACTGACACAGTATATACATTACTGTTATTGTTACATCCTTTACAGTGGATGTTCAAGCACAAAAGAAAGCTTAAATAAAATACATGCATTCTAACACAGTTTGGAGGACAATAGAAACACAGACTTCCACTGCTGAAGTCATTCATATTTCAAACTTACCTGCAAATGTAACTTCTACTGCTTCAGGCTTGTTCCTGAAAGAAAGAAAAAAAGTATTTTGTGAGTCTGCTATCTGGAAATGAATGACAATCTATCAATCTATAGGATGTGTGGGCACTAAGATAGGAAAATCAAGGTACTGTCACTTTAAATACAGGACAACAATAAGAAGACAATCGCCTCATTAAGGATTAATCAATGATTTAATATTTAAAAGAAGTTCATTCAATTGATAGTACCATATCAAACACAAAGAAACTAAAATAACAATTAGAAAACGTGAGAAAAAGTAAGGGATAATGGACAGTCATACATTATTATGCAATAATGACACATTTTTCCACTTACTTCACACCAACTTGCCAAATAAATAAACAAATAAATACATTTAAATATTCATTGTTTAAATAATTGTATTAGTTTTTACAACGCTAATACATGTTATTTATATGGCACGGTCATGAACAGCGGCCATTATTCAAAAATAGTTTACCTGAATGTTGTGACTGACCAATCAGATTAGTTCACTCAAAAATGAAAAATTCTGTCATTATTTATTTGCTCTCAAGTAGTTACAAACCTGTATGAATTTCTTTCTTCTGTTGAACACAAAAGAAAAATATGGTTAACCAAAAACTTGATAGAGCCCGTTGACTTCCAAAATATAAAACTATGGAAATCAATGGAGTCCATCAACTGTTAAGTTTCCAACACTCTTCAAAAATTATTTTTTGTGCTCAGAAAGAAAGAAATGAATACAGGTTTGGAATAACTTGAGAGTGAGTAAATTATGACAGAATTTTCATTTTTGGGTGAACAACTGTACCTTAAAAGTATCCCATAATGTAAACAATGACAATTCTAATGTTTTGGTGAACTATTCCAATAAAAGCAATAACGTGTCGTGTCATTTCATTTACTTTTATTTTAAATAAAATAGCTTTTTTTTTTTTTTTTCTTAAATAAACACAAAACGGAAACAAATCAGAACTTTTTTTATATATGATTTGACAATGAGTCACAGCAGGCGCGTGGCCGTTCCAACCCGAGCGCAAGCACGCGCAAAGTCACACGTATTTGAGAAGAATGAAGGGGAGAGAAGTTCCCGAGGAATCTGCTACTTCATCCTGCATGGACGGGTCTGAAAGATGTTCCTCTTGCAGTGACATGTATTCGACTGATTTACACAAGACGCTATGAACAGGAAGTGTCTCCAGTCTTCAGTACTCTGGGACTAAATATTTATAGAAATCCGGTCAGAAACATGCAACGTTATAAAAAGATCAGAATCACTCATGAGATTTGTTTTAGCAATTACCTGACACACTGATCCAGTTATCACTCACACATAAATAAGATTAATTGTTTTCTATGTGACCTGAACAGCTGGACACACCCCATACAGGACACTTCATTCCTCGAACATGGACAATCAACAAATTACCTCAAAGAACTCAATCAATCGAACACGAATGCATGCGTTATGTTATTTTATCCGTGCATAAGAAAATATGTCTCTTGTCAACGCATGCATGCATCAGATGAGCGATGTTTGATGCGAGTTCTGACTCAGACAGGAAGATCTTCCTCTTACCCATTGCTCGCGCTGTCGAATTTGAGGGTGAGAGTCTCCTCTATGATCCGATTGTTGATTTCCAACAAAATCATGATGATTTAAGTGACTGTTTAATGGTAATGTGGACTTAAAAATATAAGAGCAAATATTGCTGTTCTACAATCGTTTTGGTTTTCCTGCTCCAAGACTTCTGGCCGCTTCCGCATTGACTCGAAAGACCCGCGGGCTGCCCGCGTCACTGCCTGTTCGTTTGTGCTAATCACATCCTGAAATTCAATATTTCCACTCTTTATTCGTTCTTTCTGAAATACTTAAGATATTAATTTTATATTATAACATTTACATTTATTAGTTTATTGGAATCACGCTGTTTGGGGGCATTCTCTGTTATTTCCGAGATTTGAGTGTGAAAGGCTACTGTCCAGTTAATAAAATTGAAATTGCATCCAAGAAAACTGAAAAAAAATAAAAATATGTCTTTTGCAACAATGTGTGTCTAAAATTCAATCTTTTGTACCTCATGTGGAAAATTTAGGAAAGTAATGTGATTATCTAGTAGGCTAAGGTTGTTTTGTTATTGTAAGACTAAATTTGTCCTGCCTGAAATTTGAGTGAGTTTGATATTTAGATAATTTCATCTAGTTAAGGCAGTAGCAATATAGTTTGTGTCAGTGTGTATTTTATGTCATTCACTCTTAAATAAAGGTTCTTGCCATCCATGGTTCATGAAGGAATTTTAACAACTGTAGAATCTTTCCACTGTGACTGCACAAAAGGTTCTTTAAAGTGGAAAAAGGTTCTTCAGATTATAAGACTGTTCTTCACATTAAGAAAACAAATCTTTTAAGATTTATTTATTGAAAGGTTCTTTGCGGAACCCAAAAAAAAAGGTTATTCTATGGCATCGAAAACCTTTTGGAACCTGTATTTCAAATGAGTGTTACAGAAGATAACTATTCTTCAAAGTTTCCTTTCCGTGTTTTATGGAAAAATACCAGCATGCGGGTTTGGAATAATGAGGATAAGTAGGCCTAAACAATGAGAAAATAGTTGGGTGAACTATTAGCTACTCTAAGAATTATGATATTTTCCTATATATTCCCATTAAAATCCTGTTGACATTCATTGGTGACACTGCAGAGATCTTGTTTAAACATGCATTCAGCATCTGAGGCTCTTTGATGAAACCATTCATCGTGTGCCGTTAACACACTGTAATCTGAGAAGGACACTCTTTTTCCATTCTCTGTCTATAAAATGTTTTTACTTTCGTGGAATGAAGTGGGGGTGGAATGTCTCTCGATTTACAGGTTAGGCCTATTACAGTTTAAGAAACTTGATCTTTCAACATAAAATACTAGGAAGAAATGCATGAAAAAAGGTTTGAGTTCATTTAAATCTCTGACATTTGATAGCACACAATATTTTGATGGCTGAGATAATAAAAATACCTCATTTGAGATTTTCTGCCCATATATGGGTTATCTTGTGCTTATATTTTAATATGAATTCTGAACTTATTTAACATTCCGATGTACAACAACCACTTTACATCTCATCTTGCATTCCTTGCCTTATATTTCACAGAGAGAGGTGTTTCTTCCTGTCCTGAACATAGCAGAAAAGGGTCTTTGTCAAAAAGGGCCGGACTAGGTTCACGCTGCTTTACATTTCACAAAGTCATCTATTTTAAGCTCATATCTCATTGTCCTGATCACCTTGCTGACAATGAGGTAAATCTAAACAGAATTTTAGCACTTATTTTAGAATAACTTTGCATTAAGTAATTTACAATTATAACATTAAAATAGTCAAGTTTAGGGGAATATGTTTAAACGCATCCTACCCACATAAAGAGTCTTATATAGGAAAATGCTTAAGAGTCTATAATTGGTGTTGTAAGACTGGAAAAACTGGTTAAAGAGAAAATATCTGACCAGTGGCCTCTAAAGACAAAAGGCATTGCTTGCAAATTAACATTTGACACCCTACCCCCTATTCTCTGAACATCTTATCTGCATCTTCTCTCTTTCACTCTCAGTCAATGATACTGAAAGCTCACACAAGAATATGGTTTTAATGTGAATGATAATCTTTAAGGATTGTTTAGAATCATTTTGATGGTCTCAGGGTGACTGGTAATAATGTCTCATTCCCAAAGTAATAAAAGAAAAGGTAATAAGGTTTTTAAGAAGTTTAGGAATCACAGTCACACAAAGGAGTGTGGTCTTTGAGTTAACACCTTCTGCCTTGTTGTCTGAATGCAAATTACAACCAAGCAAATGGTCTGCCCCCGATAAACATGGTAGGGGGATTCAGTAACTTTCCATTGAAACCTGGAGATTAACATATCAGGTATAGGTCTGGCTATTTAAAGGGTGCAGCGGGAGAGTTCGAGGCTGCTTTCTGTATTCAGATCAGCCCGTGATGTTGTGTCTTCAAGACTCAGCTCATGTAATATGTTGGGTAAAGTTCTTTGTTCTAAACATTTGATGGTTTGCTCTGATTATCTTGTGGAATTCTAATGATACATTTACCTGACATAATAAATTGTTATATTTGGCTATTCTAACAGACTTTGACTTTATTTTCATTAAGTTAAAAGTAATAGTCAAGCATTAACATATTTAATGATGCACAGATATCATTGATAAACCCTTTTCATTTTATGGAGTCAGATGAAACGAGTTAATAAATAAGATTAAATGTGTTGCATTTAATTAAAAAACACTTTGCTTGGAAAAGACGGAACGCGCTTGAAACCTTCACCACGAATCGAATTCCTCAATTTGGGTCGATTTCGTGGCCCTTTTTACAGTGTCATGTGTGTGTGTTGGAAGGAAGACAAAGACAGAAAAATGTAGTTTAATAACAGGTAATCCAAGAGTATACGCATGACAGGCATAAGCTCAACATAACGGTGACCGGACACTGAGTGATGGTGAAGGGGAAACTTGAGTACTGAATGCAAACGAAGTAAGGACAATACAAACCTGATACACATGAACTCATAATGACGGTAACCAAGGAGACAGATTAGTGGCGGGAATCTGAACAAATAAACACCTGTGACAAACCAATACAAACAGAAGGTCCATGAAAACTCAAACTAAACTGAACATAATTGTGACAATTGGATCATGCTGTGGTGATTATCTATCATGTTATACTGTATGTTTGGCAACAGTTATTCTAACCCTAATTGATGGAGTGTGTAGCTTTTTTTATTTCTTAAACAAGCATGTGACGCATCATGGCCATAATCCAGGATAACAATAGATTTATCAGTTTCAAATTGTGAAATAATGGTTGGGAAGAGCATAAAGAATAATTTCACACATGAATTGGCATCTTAAATGAATGAGTCCAGACGTTAAACTCATTGAAAGGCATGTGCTGAGGAGACTTTACAAAGTGCTGGACTCTTACATTGACAATACAAGATCTGTGGCGAACATTGATGCACCTCTTGATGGAAATAAATGGTAGGATGCAGAATTTCAATGAATTTAAATATACCTCACTCCCATCCGGGTCACGGCACCAGTGTAACCCCTCCGGATCTACTCTTTTCTGAGGTGTCACCATGGGATATGGACAGAATAACAAGGACGCTAAAGACCACAGCTTCTAATACAATATGTGCCTCCTGAGGCCAGGGGAGTGGGGTTTACTTAATAGAGCTACCCAGACAGCCACATAGTGTTGGCCCAGATCCGGCCCACATCTGGTGCGCCTTGACTCCACATGTACCGGATCTGGCCCGACACTATCTTGCTGTCTGGGTAGCCTCTTACACCTCAAAATGTAACAAACAAATATTGTATAATTTACAATAAAATGATTGCTCTGTGTGTTTGTTTACACACCACATCAATATTCAATCAAAACCAAAAAAAGGTTTATGGTTACTTTTTCTGCTTTTAAAAATAGCTGTGAAAATGAAAATGAAATTGGTCTCTTCTCATGTGAGCTTGTCACTTGTTTACAGCATCTTTAGGACAAACGCAGTGGGACAGAGTTGCTCAAGTTCCTGGATAAACGTTGGTAAGTGATGATTTGTGGCCTCACATCTCTTCACATGTGACGCATCTTTCCTCCGATGTTGAACAATCACTTCCATATTACGTATTTGAGGTTTTTCCTAATTATGTTTATGGTGTTCTTTGATCAGCTGAATCCTTGTCATTGTATCAAATAACATTCTATTGATTCATTTAATTCATTTAATAATAATAACCTTTATTTTCTATAGCGCATTTAAATGTACATCTCAAAGCGCTGTACAAAAACAATTAAAATAGCAAAGATACAACACACAAAAGAGACCATACACAGTAAAATTAACATAAAAAACAACAAGCATATAGACCATTTCACAAGATGTAAACAACACTGGTCCAGAAGCACTTCCTGTTTCAGTTTTTTAACACTACATAAAAGCTGGGATAAAATACAACCAACAGAACATTTAAAACTAAATCAAAAAGTTAAACAAACATCTTTAAGATGTTTTCTTTACATGTGAAATAAAGAAAACAGTTACAAACTGAAACAGGAAGTGCTTCTGGACCAGTATTGTTTACATCTTGTGAAATGGTCTATAAGACAATAAATCAATTAAAAGCTAATCTAAAAAAAATGAGTTTTAAGCTGAGATTTAAAGATTCCAAGAGATTTGGCTTGCCTGATCTCAATCGAGATCCAGATTCCATTTATTCTAAAATGTTACTCTTGTCTTTTTACAGTCACACAAAATGTAATAATGAAATTATTAGTGTTTGATCTCCTATTCATTTTCATCCGTAATTTTTTTTTTTTGCTATGCAATGCAATGGACATGCATCACATAATATATTTTATGACTGTTATTTAAATGTAACATTTTTAAAACTGTCATGTATAGGTAGAAATAACCCCATTACTGTTCCTATTAATATATTTAGATCCAAAATAATGATTTAAAACTGGGCTTCAGAATTTGTATCATATGGTCTCATGACTTTGTATCATAAATATTATGATTTTAGTCCACATGATTCTTAGTTTCACTTTTGGTGTTTTGATCATGTTTATGTCAGATTGAACACGAGTGAGGATCTTGTGACCATTCAAATGCATCAAATTTCCCTCAGCAAACATCTCTTATCTTCTGCTTTTTTGTAGCCACATAAAAACAACATCACCAAACATTCTAATCTTTTGCATCCCATTCATATATTGGAAACATAACTATGAGATCTGCTTGTAAGAGAAAGACTTTTCCAGATATGTCATGAATACCGTGAATACGTTTTTGAGAAGAATTGGAGGATCTTAGTTGAGATGGTTCACTTTAGGCAACTTTTAGGACTTAGGCAAACAGGATATATCAACATCCCTTCAAAGAGTATAAAGGAACTTTCAAGCAAACAAGTCTAACATTTTATACCGGAGATTCTCAAAAAAGAAATTATGATGACTGGTAAGTCCCATATATAAATCGTATCATTAATTTAGAAGTCAATCTTTAGAAGTCAAAGCTTTTAAAGCTTTGATGTTTATTGAAAAACAGATTTTAAGAAATTTAAGCCAAATTTATGTGAAAAATGTATTTTACTAGTACAAATATTTCCATGTCGACATTCACTTAATATGAACTAGGCTATATAAACAGCATCCAATAGTATAACATCACTATTAAAATAGTAATAGTTTTAATAATAACAGTAAAATAGTTAAGATAGCATGTCACATTGCAGAAAATCTCATAATCTCATTTTAGAATATTTATTAATGTTTTTTTGTTTGTTGTTTATTTAGTTTGATCGTTTGTTCTTGTCTTTGAATAAAAAAAATGTTATTGTAAATTTCATTAAAAATAATTTTTCTTTTAAATTCTCCTCATAATTTTTTTTTTTGATACTGTACAATCTCAACTCTAAACAGAGAGATTATTTTATTTATTTATTTTTTGTTATTAATAATACATTGCTCTTCTACTTGTTCCTCTCTACAGATCCAAACACCTCTTATCTTATGGGGACTATCGAGGACTTCAGTGAATTCTACAATGAAGAGTTCATCAACTATACAGAATACCCGAATTATACATTTGTTGTGGATGAGAAAACGCTGCTCTGCTCCTCCATCAATATGGGTGATGCCATCAACATTACATTCTGTGTCTTCTACATTCTCATCTTTCTGATGGCTATTCCTGGGAATCTGATCGTAGGCTGGATCATCGGCACTAATAGAAACTTGCTTTCTTCTTCAGATGTATACCTATTCAATCTGATGCTAGCCGACACGTTACTGGCTCTTATTCTGCCCTTTTCTGCGGTTTCCGTGATCCAAGGTTGGGAGTTTGGTGATTTTTTTTGCAAGTTAGTTAGTCTGGTGAAGGAAGTGAACTTCTACACCAGCATCTTGTTTTTGGTGTGCATCAGCGTGGACCGCTACTTGGTCATCGTACGGGCTACGGAGTCCAGGAAGGCTCAGAGGAAACTGTGCAGTGGGGTCACCTGTGGATTGGTGTGGGTTTTGGGCTTTGTGCTGTCCTTGCCATCATTCTACAATGAGGCATTTTATCATAAAACATCAAATAAGACTATTTGTGCAGAACGCTTCGAGACGGACCACGCCGACGAGTGGCGAGTGGCCACGCGTATCATCAGGCATCTGTTGGGTTTCCTTATCCCTCTGGTGGTCATGTTGGTCTGCTACAGCGTGACAGTGGCGCGGCTCTTGCGTACACGCGGTTTCCAGAAGCACAGGGCCATGAAGGTGATCGTAGCCGTGGTGGTGGTTTTTCTTCTGTGCTGGACCCCCTTCCATGTTTCCATGATGGTTGACACCCTCATGAGGACCAAAGTGGTTCACTTCAGCTGTTTCGCACGGACATCGGTGGACATCGCCATGTTCGCAACTCAAAACTTTGGGCTTCTGCATTGCTGCGTGAACCCAGTGCTGTACGCCTTTGTGGGAGAGAAGTTCAGAAGAAGGTTTCTGCAGTTGCTCCATAGAAATGGACTTCTGGCTCGGATGTCCGTCTCTAGATCTAGTAGGTCCTCCTCTCTGACCTCAGAAGTCACTTCCAGCTTCTTGTGAGCTAATGCCAAGCAATGGACATCAAAGACACTTAGTGCACCTTTCCATGTTTGCTTGAAATTCAACAGTGTGTTAGAGTAGGGGTGTCCTTATGTTCCTGAAGAGCTACTTTCCATCAAAGTGTAGCTTTAGCTCTAATTCAAAACATCTGAACCAGATAATCAAGGTCTTTAGGACTACTAGACACTTCCATGTAGTTGTGTTGAAACTAAACTCTGCAGGATTGCAGGATTGGAGATTCTAGAGGCTAATTACCATGATGTTTTGGCTCCATCTATTGGTCAAAAACAGAAAAATCCATGATTGGGTTAGAATAGAAGGATTTTTTTCCTTTGGCCTGTTTATGATTCATCATACATCATTTGCTCATCATGATAATCTTCACAAATTCTGAAACACAAATACAATCAGCAGAAGTGAAAAGCTAAAGTTTGGCTATAAATGAACTACACCATGGTCACATGACCTAAACGCCACCGCCATTCAGCTTCCGACAACTCTTTAATGTTACGCTTAAGCAGACTAGATCGCTTTATATGATGAACAGATTTAATTTAGACCATTTTTATTCACATATAATCATTGATCAGTGAACATAAACTAAAGCTCAACCGAACCTGAGTAACACGTACTCGCTGAAGTGTAAACGTGATGCGTAACATTGGTTCTTGCACGTCAAGCGAACATGCTTGAGCTTCTGTTTACCATAACTGATGTGTGAGTTGATGAATGTTCATATGTGAATAAAAGCCTAAATTCATCTGAAGATAAATCTAAAGATAAAGTCTTATGGGTTGATGAACGAATGATGAACAAAAGTTTTATGGGTTTGGAACAACATGAGTAGTTAATGACAAAATTTTGGGGTGAAATTTCTTTCATTAAAGGTGACCCTCTAATGTCCCCGACAATCGTTATAGACCTTATGCACCAGAGAAACGTGGGCGCCGTCATCTTTAGAATATTGTCTTTGAACTTCCGGTTCTGTATAATTCTATGGCATTGCTCTTGAGGAGTAATCAGCTGGTGAAGTGGATTTACTTATTATGTAGAGTTAACAAAAGTTATCATTGTAATGTCTATCATAAGCATTGTAAAGCAGATGTCTTAACAAATGTCGAACGGGATTTTTTTTACGAGCAGTTCATTCATAATATGCAAGATCGCTGTGGAAATACAGACCGGAAGTGGAAAGTCCAAAACGAGCGCAACGCTGAAAAGGGGCGGGGCTACATTAGGTCAATAAATTAGTCCCATCTAGCTTCTTGTTAGCAACCGCCATTATCAAGACAAGTAAAACCTTTAAAAAAAAGTTACAAGTTGACTTTTACTGATGTATTTTGTGTCAAAGATTGAAACGTGAAAATATCTTGAGCTTGTGTTCAGCACAGACCTTATTTCAGGCTTTTAAATTTGACTTTTGGGACGATGGAAGCGAAAGAGCTAAACTGGATGATAACGCAAGTGAAGAAACCCATTGACTTACATTGAAGGATGGACCTGAGCCACCTGAGAAAGCATAATATCATAAAGACTTAATGCTGATGAACTCTTTTGACTTGACTTGCCAGCAAATACTTGCTATTGCATAATGCTAGGCCATGCGGGTTTGGAGAGACATTGCTTACTGCACAACATACAAAAGCTTTCATGTTTTGCACAAGGCAGCTCTTCTGTACAGCCTATGTGGTCAGTAAGCAAGATGCTTTTTATTTATGAGATTATAGTCCAAAATGCACTTGCTCAAAATGCATTATACTTCTTTTCATTATGCATAATGTTATGTCATTTTCTCCATTTATTGTACATAATTCTTCATTTAATTCAGGGCATTCTGGACGGGTACTATATTATATTATTGTTCTCATGAAGTGTATATGGTGGTGCGATGGTTTATTAGCCTTAAAAGAGTGCAATAATAACAAAACCTCTCCAGTACTTAAAATGGATGTGTTTGTTTTTTTATGCTCATTTGTAAGTTTTAAAAATAAAAATGCTATGAACTCTCCCGTGTCCCTTTAATACAGTCAGCCCGATCATGTTGCACCATAAACTCAGAAACAGTGATCAGGACATACTTAATTAGGGGTTTATTTTGAGATAATGTCAAAAGTGGCTGTTTTTTAAGTTTTGTGCCATGATATGTCATCAAAACATATATGGTTCAAACATGACTTTATTTGTAGTTACTTTTAGATATGGTTTTGTTAGGTACAGTTTAGTTTTTTTTTTTATTTAATAAACACATTTTTTTAAAATATTTTTCAGTTTTTAATGCAGAAGTCAAAACTTCTACGCTGTAAAAAAGTACAATCAATCAACTTGGATGTTTACGTCATTTCAACTTCCGAATCTTGTATAGCTTATTAAAAATGGTTGAAAATTATTTTTTCTCTTATAAACTTATTTTGATATGTTAAAGCAGAGTAGAAATGTTGTCATAACTTATTGATCATGATTTTTTTTTACAGTTACATCTTGGAGTCACATAATCAGTGTCTTGAATTGGTTTGTAACCTATAATCCTTGTGTATTTGTCTCTTGTCGATTTTTGAGCACAACAGAGAGCAAACAAGATGTGCACTGATTGACAGACAGAACCCAAGCCAGAGGCTGAGGTCAACATGTTTTAGTACACTGTAAAAAATATTTTCAAGATTTGTTATCACAACATATTTTCTTTTGTCAAATCAACTTTATAATAATTTGTTTAGTTGAGATAACTTATTATTCTGAGTTTCTATTATTTTGAGATGATTAACATAATCTCCTTCATTGTATTAACTCACTTTTTCCAGTTCAATCAACTTAAAATTTTAAGGCAACCCAGGTTACTTACTTTTTTAAGTTAAACCAACAATATTTTTTTACAGTGTAGTAATCACATTTTTTTCTTTTGTCAAATCAACTTAAATAATTTATTTAGTTCAGATAACATATAATTTTGAGTTTTTGATGATTCAATAATTCTCCTTCATTGTATTAACTCACTTTTTCCAGTTTAATGAACTTAAAATTTTAAGGCAACCAGGTTACTTACTTTTTTAAGTTAAACCAACAATATTGTTTTACAGTGTAAGGATTTTATGTAGCACACATAACGATTGGCAAAGTTTACTAGATCATTGGTTCTCAACCTTTTTGACTTCGATTGTCTACAAATTCGAAGCCCCCCTCGCCCGATTTTTGTTTTCAAAATTTGCACAAGTTCTTTATAAACCGTTTCTTCATAGGAAACAAACAGTTGTTGAGGGGGGTGAATTAAAATAAGAGTCTCTTGTCTTTTTAAAAAATCATTTTAAATCATCTTGAGGCTCATTTGGATGTTTGCTTAGGGCCTGGTTGAAAATCACTTTTCTATATAAATTTGAAATCGTTTTCAGAATCAAAAGGCTTTCTTCTAACATTTCATTAGCCTACCTTATCAGAGAGAAATGCAGAACCTAACTTGTACCAAGTTGAACTGCAGTCGCGGGAGACTGTGTCCTCATATTAATGCATAATGATGCATTTAAAAGTTAATTGGCAAACGAATCTTTAATAAATTAGTACGTTTTTCCGAACCTCTCACCATCGGTCGTGCACATCCGTCATGTTTTGCATGACCGCAATGAGTTGTGGGTAGTATTAGCCTTTATATAAGTTTGCTTTATATAAGTATTCCACACTTCGAAAATCCACCGGAAAAACTAGACCATCCGACTTCTGGCATAGCCTACTCTTTTTAACTATGCTGTGGGACGCACTTATTTTAATCTCACGTACTGTTTAGGATGGATAGTTTTAGACATTGAGGGTCTGACTTTCCCAATTGGCTTTATGCCCAGCTGCACTACTTCCTGAACTTCAGCCAGCTTTTTGTTTCCTGTCTGCCATTATTGGGCAAACTTGATTAATTCAGGTGTGTCTGATTATTGTTGCCATGACTACTGAGGTCAGGCACACCTGAATTAATCAATTAGTCCAATAATGGCAGACAGGAAACAAGGAGCTGGCTGAAGTTCAGGAGTGCAGGGCATAAAGCCAATTGGCGATTGACTTTTTTTTCCCTGAAGAATTCAGCCATTTTCCATGTTGTTCTACTTTCTACCATTCACGAGTGCAACTCTTTGTATATAAAAGGTTTTTCATTTGATGCTGATAAAAATCTTTTGTTTATATTTGATCTCGTTGTTAGAATTCTTATATTCATAAAGTCAAATGAAATGAAAAAAAAACCATTTTTTTTACAATTTTAAATGTATGTTAAAATATATTTATAAACAATATCAAAAATTAAAAACTTAAAAGCAATGAAAACTGTAGCTGTACAAGTATTTTTTCTGTAAAATACCTTTCTTTTCTTTTCCCCCCCTCTGAAACCAGCTATGCGTGATTTTGAACCAATGAGATTTCATTGTAGGCAGAGCTGCCAGAGAGTTTCGGTCACCACTTAAAAATAGCCTATTAGCACTTTAATGGCTATGGACACATGTACCAGATATAGTGTATAATGTAGTTTATATATATATATATATATCACACAAAACTCAACTGTGTAGCTATTGCTAATTGCTAATACATGAACAGTTTTTAAGTTGTCTTTTGTTATCTTTCTTGTGAAACCATGGTACTGATAAGATCTAAATTTTCTTTTCGATTATTCATGCAGGAAGGAAAGGGACGTGGCAGTAGCTAATAATCAGTTGTTTTCAAACTTGTCATTCTCAGAAAATAGTGAGAAATCAGTCATTAGTATTTGAGAATTTCCACTGAATGATCCTGAAACGCAAGATCAGCAGCCTTGAAAATCTCAGTAAAATCACAGAAGATAATACGGTAAGAAAATACAAAATATACTTTTAATTGGGTTAAAGATTAATGGATGTGTCAGTATGACTTACTGTGAAATATTCCCTTTAAAAAGGATACTTTTAGATTTATACAATTAATAAATAACATACATTGATTCACACATAATGCAGGCTATAAATAGTCTGTGTTTGATCAGCTTTTAATTGGGATTCATTAGATTAGATTAGTTTTTTAATTCTATTTTTTTGTCTACTGAAATTTCTTGGAGAGATATTTTTGCAGTGATTTGTAAGAACGGTCAAAAAACGCATTGAATAACAGTCAACCCATTAAAGAAATGCATGTCTAGCCCTCACAGCTTTGCTTTCATTCCCATTTAAAATGAAAGATAGCGCTGCTGTGAATAAGGTCTATAGTGGCAGTGTTCAGCTCAGTTTAATTCAATGTGATCACTGCGAAGTCCGTTAGTTATAATGAAGCAAACTCAATTCAACTATAAAGCAGCTCTAGAACATTGTCATTATTCAGCTCAAGTTTAGTGTTGATTCGGGTTAGTTCAAAAACACTAGAACATTAACAAGCTTAACTCAGATACCCAGTATGCAATTTTGCGTTTAAAAGAAACACACATTTTAGTCAAGGCTAAAACAAGGCCAAATGTGGGCTGTCAGCGAAAATTTAATAGATGTTTAAACCATTAACCAAGAATAGACTAGTCATCAATTAGAAAACAAAGATATGAAATGAGTAGAGAAATGAAACCAAACATCTTGTAATCACTGTTAACTTTCGAACATCTCTTAACATTTATTTTGGCAAAAACGACATGTAACCAAATTCAAGGTTATTTTGGCTAGAAGTGTGTTAATCATAGCCGGACTGTGTAGTAGACGGTGAAATGATGCAATTGCTTGCTTGGATATGCATATGAGAACTATTTAACAATAAAAAGTTAACATTTAGACCAACTGATTCACATATACTGTATCTATTAATATCATAACTTTTGTTT